CACATTTGTGGGGAGAAAATTCCAGGGAGGGCTATTAAATGTCTGACTCAAAGGTCATGAGCCACAAATAACCAGGGAGAGTAATGAGGGGGAAGTATCTCGCCCTGATCCGCTTCCCGAGGCCTGATGTGGATCTCATCTACAGGCTCAAACAGGGAATGTCCTGATTTATGGGCTTGAAACACCTAAATAATGTGCTTTACTCACAGGTGGATGTGTGTAGTCTGGGTGGTTTCAGGTGTGTTGCTTTTAATCCTGGTTCACGACTTGGGTTGCGGGAAGGATTTGGGGCTGCACGTGCAGCTCCACTGAGCTTTAATCATTGTCTCTAATTCTCTTCTGGAAACTTTCTGCACAAGAAAGTTTGTAAGAAGCGGAGTAGAAAAAAACCAGGATTTTATCTTTGTGGAAAAAGTCGTGGGGGCTTCTCCTGGCGAAGCATCGGCCTCTTCTTGGTTTAGAGCAGGAATTTGGTGTCTGGTAGGGAGGAGAGGGGTCCACCCACATCTGGCCGGTTCATAAAGTCCTTCAAACTCCCCGTTAACACGCTCCAGAAAGAGTTATCAGACTTTGGCAACCGCCTGCTCCAAACATTACATCTGCCCTCGGCAGCATCTGGCCTCTGATGGCTCATGTGGGACACTGCGCACGGCCGCTCCGCTTGGGAAGCGCTGAGGCAGCGCAGGGCTTTCCCCGGAGCTGCCATTCCCGGAGCTGCGGCCCTGGAATGTGGGGGCTTCTCAGCAGCAAGGAGAATGCCCCAGACCCTCAGGTTTCCCAGGGACACATGAGCGGCTGGAGGTAGGGAGAGTGGAGGGGCATGTTCTATGTGTAGTAGCATCCCTACTATCATAGAATCATAGAATAGTTAGGGTTGGAAAGGACCCTGCTCCTGCTGTAGCTGTGGAGAGGGGCTGGGATGATGCTGGTTTTGCCATTCTTTGCTTCTCTTTAAGGGGAGCATAAAGTTTGGTCCCCTGATGAAACCAGCATCTCGGTGCCTGCACCCCAGGCTGAGGTTATGCGAGGTACCCCAGCTCCGGGATTTCCTATTTCTCGAGTTCTGCCTTTGTGATCTTCATGTTATTTCAACATAGTCCTTTTCGTGTGGTTTCTTAGTTAAGTGGTTTTAATTTGAACGTATTCCCTCCAGCTAATTCTTGTTCCTTGTGCGTGGCCCTGCAGAAGACCTTTTCCTTTTATTAAAGAGCAATGTTTTTAATCACATGCATTCTTCAACCCGGCTGAACTCTGAACCTTTCACAGCTAATCAGCATAAGATGGGAAATGAAGAAAACCCTCTGCCTTTAGCTCTGGTTGGGCTCTCTTTGGCTGTGTTGGCAGCGCTGGCACATGGCAGGGCTGCACGGAAAGGCGGAGCTGGGATGCGACTGCTTTGCTCCTTCGTAACGTGCCTGCGCTGCTTTGTTTGCTTCTTGCTTTATTTCTCTCTTAGAAAGTGCAGCTCTTTGCTGAGGGCTCCTTTTGCCTCTTAAAACATAGCAGGAAATGCCAAAGCAAAGATTTCTGTGCTGCTTTTTTGGGGGGGTGGGGGGGTGTCTGTGTCTGAGAGCAGCAGCATGAGCAGCGATTCCACACAAGCACCTTTACCACCACCAGCCTGGGAAATGCCACCACCAGGTTTCACCCCAGCCAAAAGCTGCACAGGAATTCAAGATGCTGTTTGCACAGTGGGTATCCCATCACTTTCCAGACTTGCTCCGTGTCCTTCCCACCTTCCCAGAGAGCACGTGGCCCCTTGGAGCGCTTCGGCTGCTTTCCCTGCACTGCATCGTGCCAAGAGCCTGGAAACTGCTGGTAACTGCTGGGTGCTGAGCACAGAGCTTGCATTCATGCTCATCCTGCTGCCCAAGGCTTTCCCAGGGCACGGGGAGAGCCTCTGCTCCTCTGAAGCTCCTCTGGCTGTGTTGCAATCTCTCCTGCCCATGGAGGAAGGCTGGAGCTGCCTCCTGCAATGGGCTCTGCAGCTCCTGCCACTCGCTTCCATGGTGCTTCCCTGTCCTATTCAGGCACTGGAGTCACCATCCCTGCAAGTGTTCCCAGCCCGTGTGGACAACACCCTCAGTGCCAGGGGTTAGTGGTGGCCTTGGGAATGCTTGGACTTGATGTGCTTAAAGGTCTATAATTGAATGATGAAAAGGCATCAGGTCTTTCGAAGGGGCTGGGTTTTGCTGTGGTCCAACAGCAGGTCCATTTGCAAAGCCATTCACCCCGTGTCCCTGCCAGCCCCCGTGCTCATGCGAGGCCGGGTTTGCCTCCACCTCCAGCCTTCCCATGGGAATGCTCCCGGGAACTCAAAATACTCCTCAGAAATGTTGGCAGGCGGGAGAGGAGCCGGAGCCTGTCCCAGAATCCTTCCACCTCTTCCCTGGGTGGCTGCTCCCAGTTTGCCTCCCCCTGCTCCATCACTTAGGGCCATGCAGGTGAGGAGGGTGATGGATTCAGGGCCGTGCAGGTGAGGGGGATGATGGATACAGCCCCATGAGGCTGCAGGGAGCCAGTGGAGCATCCCAATCTCAGCCCGTCTCTGCCACGTGGTGACTTGCAAGGGTCTGTTAGGGACCAGCAGGACCTGGGGTGGTTGGGGCATGGGGCAGACCCCCCAGGAGCCACCATGGGGCTGTGCTTTTGGCCTTCTTTGGGTGAGGGGAAGAGGAGGAGCCGCTGGCCTGGCTGCCTGCCCCCTGAATCATGTGTGAGCAGCGGAGGGGAGTTGTTTACTGTAAGTCTTGGCACAGGGCCCGGCATGAAACCCCAAATGAATTCAAGCTGCAGCGGGAGGTCATGGCTGAAACAAACAGCTCCCAGCACAGGAAGGGCTTTGCTGAGGGGTCCAGAGCTGCTGGAGCCCAGCCTGGAGCAGGAGGGCTGTGGAGCATCCCTAGGGAGCTGCCATGCGCAAGGTACCACATGCCAGAGGGGTCCCAGCATGGGGACGGTGTCCCCGGGGGCTGGGATACCCCTGTCCCCCTGGGGTGCTTCAGGCCAGTTCGTGCTCCCACAATCCCTGTTTTCCCATCTCATCCTCCCTCTCTCCCACCTGAAAATGGTGCTTAAATGCCCCCATCCGAGCAGAGCCGGTGCTCCCTGTGCCACGGGGGAGCCGGGGCAGGAGGAGGGTCCGTGGCTGGCTCTTCCCTGGCTCCGGTGCCTCTTGGCCCTGGGGATGCTCGACAGCCTTTTTCCTGGCTCGGGGTGAGTGCTGAGGAGTTGTTTTGCTGTTGCTGGCTGCTGGCCTGCCCGTCCTCCCTGTCCCTCCCACTTCACTGCTTCAGAGCTTGGATTTTAAAGCCTAAAGCAAATGAAGTAGAGAGATTCCCACCAGTGTGTTGCCCATTGGCTCTGCCTCTGCGTGTGTCCTTGGAGGTGCCTGTTATAGCCCCTCCTTTGCCTCCAAGACCTTCTTGCCCCCTGGAGGTGCTGAGCCTGAGGATGCTGCCGTTGGGGCGGTGAGAAGCGGGTGAGAACAGGGCTGCTGCTGCTGAGCTTTGCCCTGTGGCAGCTCCCCGTGGGCATCTCTAGCAGAGAAAAGTTGGGACAAGACTTCTCTGGATGCCATCAACTCTGAGGATGTGGCTGGTCCCTTCCTCCTCGTACCCCCCATTCCCCTCTGCACAATGATTCTTCACCTAAGCACCCTCCCCAGTGTCTCCGAGCTGAGCCTGGTGCCCACGGTCCCCTGGCAGCAGTTCCCAGCTCCTGCCCCTTCGTGGTGTGCAGCAGGACGATGCCATTTGGCTGGAGGGAGCCAAGGGATGGCTGAGCTGTGAGTTCCTGCAGATAGACAGCACCACGTGGCAGGGGTTGGCTGGGCTGGGAGCCGTCAGAATTCCCTGTTTCCCATCCCCGTTACACTCTGTCCTTGTCTGGCTGCCAGCGGCGCAGCGCGTCGGGTAGCACTGCACATGCCACGCTCCTGCCTCCTTCAGCCTTCATCCCCCAGGGGCTGCACCAGCACCCATCCCTCCAGCATCCTCCTCCCTGGGAGGTGGGAACACCCAGGAGCTGGGAAGCGGGAGGTGACAGCCCAGCTTATCACTTGCATCCTTCAACATCGCTGATGTTGGGTGGGAGCTTCTGGTAACGGCCTCCCAGGGCGCTGCTGCTGGCACCCTGCTGCAAGGAGATGTGCTGGGATGAGGTGGCAGCCCCGAGGAGGAGGTCTCCCTTTGGGGAGCCCTGCCTGGCTTCCTGCAGGTGCTGAGGGGCACATGGGAGGTGAAACAACGGGCTGAGAGAAGATCAGGGTCTTCTTGCGTAGGGTAACTTCATGTGGACTCTTGTTTGCTCGTAAAAGTGCAGTTTAAACGTGCTTCTGCTGTACCTGGGGCTCATCCTGCTCCTCTCGTGCATCACACTGTGGCCAGCCCTGTCCGTTATCCTTGGTGGCAACGGAGCAGAGGACTTTCAGGCTTAAGCTCCACATCATGCTGGTTGTGTGGGGCAGGCAGCATGTAGCAATTAGAGCCCATTAGGCAGGGGTAAAGTTAAGTCCCAGGCAGGTATCAGTGGCACAGAGGATGGAGTCAAGCCTGTGCTGGGGTTTCCTGGGAACACCAGCTCCTTCTCTGGCATAAGCTGAGGTTGGGGATATTGAGCTGGCCAGAGAAGTGTTTGCCTTCGACCAGAGGGGATTTTCCTGCCTGGGCTGCACAGGATGTGGTTATTCGTAGTCCTGGTGCCTTCCTTGAGTGAATACACTCATTCTCCTTCCCCTTGCACCTTGGCATGGGCCAGGCTGTGAGTGTGCTGGGTTTCCCCCTGTGCAGATGGGGCAGGAGCCTGCAGAGATGTCTCCTGATGCCATCGAGGCTGGGATTTGAACAGCACCACGTGTGGTAAATTGCTTTTGGAACACGACCAGCTCTCAAGCTGCGGCGGTCCTGGCCCTGCATCCAAGAGCCGAGCCCAAAAACTCAGGGAGATGCGACAGGCCCAGGGCCTGAGCTCTGCCTCTGTTTGTGCCTCCACAGCTGCCGTGACCCCGTGCACCTCCCCACGGGTGCCCCAGACCGTCCCCATGGACCTGCGCATCGGGCAGCGCCTCGTCAAGCCCGGCTCCGACACCGCTTTGCTGGCCCTGAAGCACACGCAGCAGCTCCAGCACCAGCTCTTCCTCGCCAGCCTGCACCAGCAGCAAGTGGAGCAGCTCGCCCAGCAGCACGTCAGGGTATGAGCACCCCAGGGTGCACGGGGGGGACCTGCCCCCGCTTTTGGGAGCGCCTGGGGGAGGATTTGGCACTTGAGAGAAGTCACGTTGCCCCCCCAAGCACGTAGCTCATGGTGCTGTGTGTGCCTGCCAGCAGTGCCCCGCGCTGGGGCTGCCTTTGGCTAAGCTCTGGCAGGGATTAAGAGGAAGAAGCTGGAAATCCCAACCCCAAAATAACCTTCCCAGGTGAATTCCTCTTTTTCCCTTGTGCTGGAGAGTCTGTAGCGCTTTTGAGCCAGCCCGGAGACCTCTCTGACGCAAGGAGGCTGCTTTAGGAGTCAGGTGGGGTGGGTTTCGTGTCTTAGTTTCAAGCCAAATCTGTGTCCTGCCAAAGGCTGGGGCCTCCTGGGATGTGTGAAGCAGGGCAGTGCTTTCAGCCACGGAGCACGTGTGCTGAGGCAGGAGCCAGGGCGGCTGGACAGGATGCCTGGTGGCTGTGATCTGCCCCTCGGCTTGGCCACCGCTGGCTCTCTGCCCCAGAGGCACAGTCCCTCCTTCACCAGCTCATGTGCTTTGCTGGGAAGCCTTTGCTGGAATTCTCTGGTGGCACCCGGAATCACAGCCCTGTCCTGCTGCCCGTCACAGCCTGACAGCAGCATTTAGCTTGGATGGGTCCTCTGGAGACCCCCACTGCAGAGGTGGGGCAGGTTGTGAGCATCTGGAAGCACAGAGATCCCCCCTGCCTGTCACGGTGCTCATGGCAGGAGGCAGTTCCATAGATCCAGATGGGATTTCCCATTGCTGCTCACCCTTTTGTTGTGCCCCTCGGAGGACCCCGGCTCCATCTGCTCTGTAACCCCCTTTGGGTGGTGGAAGATGCAGTTGTACCCCCTCTCCTCTGGACTAAAGCCTCAGCTGCTTCTCTCACGTCCCTGTCAGTGCGTGGCGTGGGCTCACTGGTCCCAGTAACCTTGTCTGGAAGCCCTGGGGTGCTGAGCCTCAGCACCAGCATGGTCCACACACAGAGACTTTGAGATGCTGCTTCCGCCACGACTGGTGGATGCTTGGAGGCATTTGTGCTTTTTGACCTCTCTAAGAGATGGGATCATCTTGGGAAACCTCAGCTCCGGAAAACACCAAGATCCAAACTTTTAAGATTTGTATAATAGGATTTTTAGCTGTTTTCCTCCTTTTTAGTCAGCTGTGACTTTTATTTCTCCTTGTATCACAACGTGCCCTAGCTACAGGTAAGCCAAAACACCCTGAAAGGCAGCAAGTTGAACCAAACTGGGTTGTTGAACCATGTCCCTGGGGAGAGCATCTCTGGAGACAGAGCTGCATCTGTTTTGCTGTGATGAAACAACTTGAGCATGTTCTGCTGGGCCAGGGCTGCCCATCAGGTTCCCCAAAATGACCTGGGTGGGTCAGGTGTGCTCCATCACCGTGTCATCATGCCTTGGGCTTCTCCATCACCATGTCATCATGCCCTGGGCTTCTCCATCACCGTGTCATCATGCCCTGGGCTTCTCCATCACCGTGTCATCATGCCTTGGGCTTTGGGAAGGGGCCAGAAGGCTTTGGTCTGTGTTGGGCTGATGTCCCTCTCCTCTTGCAGGTGACCATGGAGTCCCCACACCGTGAAGCTGAGCCTGGGCAGCAGGAGCAGGAGCTGAGGCAGATCCTCAACAAGGACAAAAGCAAGAGAAGTAAGAGCCTCTGTGTGTGTGTTGGCACGTGGCAGCGGGGACCACAGCTCCTGCTGAGGATCCTTGTCCTCAAACCCAGGGAGACCAGCTCACAGGGGGAGTGGGATCAGAGGGGCTCTTAGAAAGGGGCTTAACAGATGGTTCTGCCCTTGTCAGACCAAGCTCTGCCCTCTCTTGGTCTGAAGGTGTGGGGTAGCATTCAAGCCATGGAGCATCTCTGTCCTGTGCATCAAACTGAGCCATGCTCTGTGCCCGCCTGGGGCCAAGAGGACACCGTGGTGTCCCTGGGGAAGTCCTGTCCTAAGCAGCAAGCAGCAATGCCAGCAAGTTGCCCTTAGCAGTTGGCAAGAGGGTTTTTGGGCTGTGGCCTGGTTGGTGTTTGTTCTTCGTGTCCCTCCGAGTGATGCCAACCTGGTCGTCACATCTCCGTGTTAACGTTGTGTCAGTGCCCTGTGGCCACTGCAGCGATGCTCCCCGAGCTGCTGGTGCCTGTGGAAGCGCTGAGCAGGGTGTGAACTGGCTGTTCGCCCTCGCAAGCCCCTGCCTGGAGCACCGGTAGCAGAGGGCAGAGGGTGGTGGGGAGAGCGTGTCCTGCTGCGGTCTCCCTGCGCCATCTAGTGCTGGTCCCTCTGAGCTCCGGGATGTGCAGAGCTCTGCAGCACCATCCAAAGATGCAGCTGCAGCCCCATCCAAAGATGCAGCTGCAGCACTCATCAGACGCACTGCACCCATCCCAGTGCCCATGGGCACCTTCTGAGCTCCATCAGGATGCTGGTATTTCCCCTTAGCTCCCACCAAGCTGCTCTCTTGGGGTTTGAAGGGTTGATGGGGCTCATCGTGATGCTGGTGACGTGGTGCCTGCCCTTTCCATGCCTCTTCTGAGCAGGGAATGCTGCGCGCAGCCCCTTGATGGAGTCTGGGAGTTAACCATGGAAATAAGAAGTTGTTAACTAGGAGGATGGTGGGACACTGGCACAGGGTGCCCAGAGAAGCTGTGGCTGGCCCATCCCCGGGAGTGCTCAAAGCCAGGGCGAAACA